TGGGAAGATACAGGGTTGTAACCAGCTATGATTGCCACACTTTCTAGAGAATGAATAAAATGAAAATGCTTAACATAGGCTCTACATGGTGGCTCATGCCTATAATCTTAGCTTTCTGGGAGGCCAAGACAGGTGGATTACTTTAGGTCAGGAGTTTGAGACCAGACTGAGAAAGAGTGAGATCCTGTCTCTAGTAAAATTAATAGAAAAATTAGCTAGGTGTGGTGTCACATGCCTGTAGTTCCAGCTACTTGGGAGGCTGAGGCAAGAGGATCACTTGAGCCTACAAATTTGAGTTTGCTGTGAGCTATGATGCCTGGACAACAGAGTGAGACTCTGCCTCAAAAAAAAAAACTTAATATAAACTACTGAAGATAATTTGCTTTTTCTTGGGTGATTCAAAAAAGTTCTGAGGTATTTCAGGGCCCCAGAATAGTTGTTAATAACATTTTAATCCAAATGTAGTAACTCTGGTTATAGCAAAGGATACAAGATTTGGAGCCAAAAGATCTAGACCAGAGAAACAGCAGACTACAGCCCAGGGGCCAAATTGAGCCCCTATTTTTCTAGATAAAATTTTATTGGACCATAGCCACACTCATTTGTTTATATATCATCTGTGGGTTCTACATAATGGCAGAGTTGTCGTGACAGGGGCTTCAGGACCCCAACAAACATAAACTATTTATTGTCTTGCATTATACATAAAAAAAAAAAAAAAAATGCTTGCCACCCCGGGTTTAGACTAAAATCTAGCTCTGTGATCTCCAGCAAGTCACCATGTTTTTCCTGAGCTTCAGTTTCCACATCTGTAATTGATGGTTATCTCTCGTGGGGTTGTTGTGACAATCAAATGCAAAAGAATGGATGGAAAAGCACTTTGTAAACTCAGAATCTCCAAGGAAAGGTAGGCGGGGGGGGGGGGGGGGTGTTTGTTGTTCATCTGATCTGTACCAAGAAGAACCCACCCATGACGTTCTTTGTGTTTCATCTTCTTTTTTTTCTAATCCCTCAAGTCAGTTCTGCCTTTCTTACAAAAGCAAAATGAATTCCCCAGGCACCCCCTTACTCCCTTAAACATACAAAGCATTCTGGTCATGTGCTTCTTCCAGATATGGAAGATGAGTACAAATGCATACATCCATTCTCTTATTTATCAAACATTTGTTGGTTACCGATTATGGGCAAAGGTGCAAACTTCTATGATCTAGTTCTTATGAAGAGAAGCGCTTGGTTTCCAAGGGGAGAAGGTAGAGATACAAATTATTGTAGCAGAATGAAGATGTTGCCATGTCATAGGAAGAGGGTTCATTGTGTGTTTTGTGTCTGTGTGCCTGTCTGTGCTTTATAAAAACAGAAATATTTAGGTCCAGATTTAATAATAGCTCTTAAAAAAATAAATAAATAAAACTCTGGGAACCCCTCGTCCATGCCTGACAGACGGGACTTCTCAGGACTGGTCTGTAGTGTTGTACATCAGGAAGCCAGAAGTTCACCATAGTTTCTAAATTTTGGAGATAGCCTTCATTTCATTGTATCTTATTTTTTCAATCAAGATGATTCAATAAACATAACTTCAATGATTGCATTTTTTTAATTCATTCAACTTGCTGTCAAAATAAACTGGGAACAAAAATAAAGTTTGTTTCAATTTTCTACTCTGCAAATACCGTTGCCATACCTATATGCTCAAATTTTGCTACTGCTGATAAAGGAAGAAAATGTAGCTATTTGGGAAGAAAGAAACCTGATAAAAAGACATCATCTATTTCTGCAATGCAAATGCACACACACTTTACTCTAGGCTCCAGACTGGGTCCTTCAGGCCTCCCAGGATGGAGGCTTTCTTGGTTTCCATGGGGAAAGTGTTCTAATGTTTTTGTGAACATGTCTTACTTATATTTTTTCATGTACACTTACATACAGAACTGAACATCGAAAACCCATCACTAATATACGGCCACCAAAATTAAATCATAAAATCTTTGCCCATTTTACTCTCTCCCTGACTACTAAAACAGTTTCTAAAAGAAACGGGGCTTGGGTTTTTCTGTTTTCTACCTAAGAATTTAATTCTCTCTAGGGCATTTTAAAAGAGAATGCTTAGATCCATAGAGTATTTTTTATTAGACTTAGCTGGACTTCTCCTATGATGGTGAGAAGCATGTTAAGAAAGCCTGTCCATGAACTAGGCTACCCACAGGTAGTTTCACTGTGCTGCCAGTCTATCTCACATCTTTCAATTCACAGGCAAGTTTGTCTGCCTCTGTCCCTCCTCTTGTTCCATACAATGTTCTGTTCTGTTTTGCAGTTTATTATTTTATATCAAGGAGATTGTCATCTTTTTTCCCCTTTCCTTTCTGATACGATGTTCAACTGGTTTTTAGTTTTCCCCAAAGCACCCTTATTCTTTGTGTTAAATGCAGTCTCTCTCTAAACCTAGAACTGGTGATAAGAACACAGGAGAGATAATTGAAGTCAGGAACTAGGGTGATGGTGGACTGGGGACTGATATAGACAGGTGGGTTGACAGGACACATCTTTGTGGGCAAGAGTCCTTTCCCTCACTTGACCTTTGGAACTTTCCTAGGATTTGAGGCTGAAAGTGTTTTTCTTTTTCTGGAAGCAAATGTCTAAAAGAAAGCTCAAATATAGAATGCAAAAATTATTATTCACTGTATTTATTTTAGATTTCCATCAATATATGAATAATTTTAGGAAGAAGGACAGTGTGTTGGGAGCCTGTGCCATGGGTAAGCATGGTATATTTCCACATACATTCCATTAGTGTGATGAATCAGGTATTACCTCAGTGTGAATTAGGGCTAATATTTGCAGTTACATAGTGAGTGTTTTGTTTATATTTTTTCATATTTCCCTTTCACTGTACACAAACTAAATTGGGCTGCATAGACTGACCATCTGACTAGTTTCCTAGAACTTACACATGAGGTTTATCATTGAGATAATTGCTTTTAAAATACCCTCAATAGCAGCTTAACTCGGTTGTTTAAAAAAAAAAATGATTATACACGTAAGAATATTTTAGAACAGCACTTTTTAAGGCTTCTCATACATGCAAGGTAAATATGAGACATTTACATGATGAAAATGGAGTTAATTAGGTGAATTTAGTTAGGCTTGATGAGGTGGAGCCAAATTTAGGATAAATGATATTTTTAAACCAATGAAATTTAGTCTCTTGTATTTTTGTATTTGCAAAATGAAGTTTCTCAGAACATGTGTCAGGGTCTTGTAATTCACACACCTCTGTCTGTGTCCCCCACACACGCACAGACACACACCACTCACACACTGCACTTCCACAGTGACATGGACAGAGAAGGGCCGGCAGCCGGAGACTGCAACATTCTCTCTCCCCTCATCGGTTACTAATTCTGGCTGCTGAAGGTTATATCTGGCAAACTTTGCCTCTGTCTTTCCTGTTCTAACCCTGTTCTTCCAAAACACAGAGGAATGTTCTAGTGAAAGGTGTCCTTTTGGGTTTCCCGTGTGGGGGACAAATGCCACTGAGTTTCCACGTGACTCTCTTTACTTCCATCCTTCCATCCTACGTAAAGGATAACAAAGTCACGCATTTTCTGATCCAGTACCCAACTTGTTTTCCCAGGTTCCCTCCTACAACCAACACAAACACAGACATTTACCAGCAAAACAGAAGCTGTTGGAAAGATTTTTTGGCTGCTGAAATGGGCTCCTGTCACCAGGACATGGCAGGCTTTTTGCTGTATTGTCTCCCAGCCCTAGCCCTGGTACTCCAAAGAGAGCTTTATGTAATCAGTCTTTCCTGACATGTGATGTCCTGTCATTTTCCTCCCCCGATGGCTCCGCTGCCACCCACAAATCAATAACATTGCCTGGGAAGTTCGAGCTAGTTTTGCAGCCACCCCAAGCTCTGTGTTTCTTAAAGGGTATATCAGAAAATGTAAAGTTTCCTAATGATATTTCTGGCTGATGACACATGGCAGAGCTGATGGACTATTTATAATCAGTGGCACGATCGCAAGCACATTATTTTTATTTCACTTAGGGGGGAGCCCTGTCACTTTCTACCTCTCTTTGCAGACAAGTTGATGCCATCTCCACCTCAAGTAGCTAGATCCTTTTTGCAGGATGTGCTTGCACCCTCCCCGTTGTGTCAGGAGCTCCCCAGCTCTTTCCATTAGAAGCCCTCCCTCCTTTTTTTTTTTTTTTAATTGTTCTTTGGCTCAAGGGATGATGAGGGCAAAGAATGATTTGTAGCAACTGATTTAAATTCTGGCCATGCCTGCATTCTTCACTACACACGTCTCCAGTCTTCGCGGCTCAGACCCTGCTACGTCCCTCTGAGTGTGGGTGTGGCTGGCATAACTGAGGCAATAGACACAGCTACTGCATCCAGCACTTGCCCTAATTTTACAAGACTGAGCAGAGCGTAACTGTCTTTTGTTGAGCACCTGCTACGTTCAAGGCAATGAACTTGGTAGGCGTTTTATGGACTTTAAGTACCTATCTCACTAACTCTCTCAAACATATCTGAGGTAAGTGCTGTGATCTCCAGAGTAGAGATTTGGGAGGGAAATGGCAGAGTAAATGACTTCTCTTCAAAGTCACATAGCTGATAGGGAAAGCCCCAGGACTCTAGTTCCAGTTTCTTCTAACAAACCACACCTGGTCTCTTCCCACTACCCTGTCCTACCTCTTCTGATAATCTGGCACTTGTATATATCTTGTGTGGATGTGCAGGGGCACTTACCCATCTTTAGCTTGGGGGGGGGGCGTCTGTGAGTTTAAAGGCCAGCAGGAGTGACAGCTGGAGGGATTGGAAACCTCTCAATCTGAGGGTAAGCCCTGGTGTACGAGGAACCGTAAACCAGAGGAGACTTTTGACTCACTGCAGTGGGAAGTGTTGCCTCTATAAAGATACTGAGTGTGCTCTCTCCTCTCTCTCTCTCTTTCTCTCTTTCTCTCTCTCTCTCTCTTTTTTAATGTTTCCACAGGACAGAGTTTAGGGTATGGATTTGTTAACTATATTGATCCAAAGGATGCAGAGAAAGCCATCAACACTTTAAATGGACTCAGACTCCAGACCAAAACCATAAAGGTAAGAAGTGATGTGCCAGCTCCTAATTCAGCAGGCACTGGTTAAGTTTCATTCCATTGATCTAATAAATCCAAGCTATGCAGGAGCTGGAAGTAGCGTTCTTTACTTATTCAAAGAACATTTACTGTCCGCTCTACTAAATGAGGGACACAGGCTATTGTGGGAGAGTGAGGCAAATGTTGAAGAGAGAGAAGGGACTATTGAACTTCCAATCCAGAGGACAGACGAGGGATTGGCACTTAGGACCCACCCTGAAGGCCTGTGAGCCTGAGTCTGCAAAGATAGCCAGAATGAAGCCAAGGCAAGACAAAGAAACTCTTCCAGGCAGAAGAAAAAGCACATGCAAAGCTATGAAAATAGGAGACATTGTGAGCAATGGATGGCAGATAAGTAGTGTGACCTAAGTTTGGATGGGGAGGTGAACGATGAGGATGGGAGGTGGGCAGGGCCAAACTAGGAGGCCTTGTGTGCCAGGCTGAGCAGCTTGCCTTTACCTATGGTTAGATAAGACCCTCCTAACTGAGACTCTAAAAGGAAAAATGAGTTATAAATAAACACACTCATGTAATAAGGACGGTACTATAATAAAATCGATGAGAACATAGTATGGGAAAGACAGAAAAAGTAACATTTCAGCAATCTGAAAATAATCAAGGGGGGTTGTTTTAAGTCAAAAGAGAAAAACAGTAGCCCAGAGCCAGCTCCTCTGGAAGGAAGTTCAGGTGTCTGTGGCTGGATGGTTGCGCTCTCTGTTCAGACTTCACTCGTGGGATCCTTCGGGAGATGACGCCGTTTGCTGTGGGTTCCCCTTGAGCAGCTGGTAGTGTTCTGGTCAATGGAGCCTGCCTCCTCCTCAGCCTCCCTTCCCCTTCCTCCCCCACCTCTGGGCAGCGTCCTGTTCAGGGGCAGCTGCCAGCCGATTAATGAGTCCCATCCTTCATAGCCTATTAAACCACAGGGAGGTGTCTCCTGGGCGCTCTTATCCTCACGACAGCAGGTCTGACGCAAAGTAGGACAAAAGAGAAACCTCTCCCAGAATGGAATTCTATAGATGGCACCAGCTCTCAGCATCTGAAAACATAAAACCAGAAAGAACTTTGCAGTCCAACAAAGCTACTTTTCCAACATCCAGAATGACAGAGGTGGTTACTGGTATGAGATAATCTTAGCTGTGAGGTAATCAAAACAAAAACAAAACAAAGCAAAACTTTTCTCTTTTTAGAATATATTCCCTGATTACCTTTCTTTCGTTTTAGGTCTTTACTTTTACAATTCAATTTGGCTTATTTCTGAAGATGATCACTTTCCCTGATCTCATACAGCCTGGTACCTAAGACCCCAAAATGGGCCTGATTCAGGTTACCTCAGTCTAGGTTTAGAACCAATTCCTATGAGTTTTCTAAGGGAGAAATAATCAAGAGTTGGTTAATTATGGACTAGTCCTCTGAGAGGCAGGAGGATTAACTTCTTTCAAAGGAAAAACATACCTATTTTTATGCTTTTAAGTAAAGAAGGGATACTCATGTCGCCTGACTCTTTGATGAGGCCTCACTAGGTTGAGAACTGTATTTGTGGGTTTGATTGATTTTCCTGTGCTATCTAGTTCAGCATTAGAATGTCAAATGTTTACTCTTCCCTTGACAGACACATTGACCTTGAACTGAAAAAGGTACTTTTCTTTCCTCTACAGTTTTCTTGAAATCCAAACTTTTCTCCAGGGGTTTAGAATCAAATAATCAGCCTTCTGTTCTGCCTTTTTTTTTTTTTTAAAGTATTCCATGGGGCCATTGGAATCGCCAAAGACTGAGTGGACCTGGCTTTTCCGGTCCCAGAATGTACCCTGTGGCCCATCATGCCATCAGATGCTTTATCTAAGTGGGTCTTAGAGACAAGGAACATCGATTGTTATCTTTGACTGAAGAGCCTGTCTGCTTCCTTCCCTTATCGATATCCCTTTCTCCACCCTCTAACCCACCCCGTGCTCACTCTGTATCAAAACGCTGCCAACACATTTGCACGCAGCGGTAATGTGGGCTTCTGAGGCACTATAGGATTCAAAATGCATGATGCCACGGCTGAATCAATAATTTCCATTCTCTACTACGAATGAAAATTTAATGTGCAAACCTTGGGATTTCAGCCCTTTCATTAAAGCAGTTTATTTGCCATACTAAAAATTAAGTTTGAGTGATAGGTTCCTTTATTAACTTTTCTTCCCTTTCCTAAAGGGACACAGTGTTTAAGGTAAAAATCACATTAGAGGGTAGAAAAAAAGCAAACTCTTTTTGTGTGCTGTTAATAGTCTCATCATTTATTAATTTTTTTTAAATTGCTTTTTTGCCTTTCAGGCTACTGTTTACTTCTGCTTGGGTTTGCTTTGATAAGTGACATGAGATTTATCTCTTTGCTCTGACTCCCATGAAGGAATAGATGACTTGACTGTCTGGAAAAAAAAAAACATGTATCCTCTTTAGAAGGATGCATTGCAGAGATTTCCTCAGAACCATCTAGTACTTGTTTGGGAACTTCGATCGGTGTGTCCCTCCTTTTCACATTTCTGGAGTGCTTCATGCAGAACACAGGACTTTTTTAAGCGTCATGCACAAAATATGTGCAAGCAAATCAAAAGTCAATACTTAAGCTTTTTTTTTTCTATTTTTAGTAGAGATGGGGTCTCACTCTTGCTCAGGCTGGTCTCAAATCCCAGATCTAAAGTAATCCATCCTCCCGCCTAATGGACACCACGTAAGGGTATATGGCACGCCTCCTGGGTACAGGACACAACTACAACAGGGACTATACCTAACAAATGCAAGCATTGTTCTCTAATTGTTTCTATCCTCATATTAATCTGAAATTTAAAAAAAGAAAGAAAGAAAGAAAGCAATCCACCCGCCTCAGCCTCTCAGAGTGCTGGAATTACAGGCATGAGCCACTGCACCCCACCCAGCTTTAATCCTTAAAATAGCCCTGTAAGGAGGTACTATTATCTTCTTTAGACACACGTGGAAACTGAGGCCCAGAGAGGTTTAGAGACATAGCCAGGATCACACAGTTTAAGTGAGATTTGGAGTAAGAAAACAAATGTTTTAAAAATACCTCTCTGGCAGTAGGTCTTCAGTGTTGGAATATCACACTGCCTGCTGGCTCCGCAGCACGTGCCTCTGTGAGGATGTGGGGGTGTGTCTGGCTCTGCACATATACAGGTCATACTCTCTGGCATGGGAAGGAGATATAGAAAGCAAACAAATGAATTGGATGGCTCCCCCAGCTCTTTAGTAAAGAGACTTATGGCTTAGGGCTTCTGCCATGCACTTGGGGACAGACCTGACTTCAGATCATTTCTTCTTGGGTCCCTGCTTTCCAGGCTATGCACTAGGTTCTGGGGTTTAGATGAACCAGAGATGGCAGTGCCCTGGAGATTCTCCCACCTGTATGTGTCAGAGAGCCGTGGGGTATGGACCACAGGCCTACATTCTCTGACCTGTCAGAGCAGACCGGAGCACTACTTGGGAAACTGGGTCACTTGTCAATATTTCAACCCTGAGATCAGTGGTGATGATTTGCCCCATTTAGGGATTTGGAGGTACTGTTTGTTTCACTTTTTTCCCCCCAGTTGTCTCACTTCAGACTAGGCGTCCTCAAACTACGGCCTGCCTAGGACATTTATCCAGCCCACCAGGTGTTTTTGCCGCCGCTGCCTGTCCTGCTTAGCAGCCAACTCGTCCTGGGGCCTGCTGTCAGGCCCTCCAATGGTCTGAGGGATAGTGAACTACTCCTGTTTAAAAAGTTTGAGGACCCCCGCTTTAGCCTCTAGAAATTGCTGTCAACTCTGAAAAATGATTCCCAGAACTCCTTGCCCCACACTGGGGGCCCATCCCAATCTTGGCTCTCTCCTGGGCTCTAAAAAAACAGCTTCTAAATTTATAGTAAATGTCTGCCTCTGACTAGGAAGCACTTAATTGAATCCAGTTTGCATTTGGTCCAGCTCTGTCACATTAATTAGGATCAAAGAAAGATGGTTCTATAGTATCTTCAAAATGGGAATATGTTTAGCAAAAGTTCAGGTTGATAGTTAAGTTATGCTGAGAAACTTCACCATGCAGTAATCCAATATGAAATGCTGGGGTTTGTATCATTCCCACTAAGCCCTTCCGAGTGGATGGGACTGCTGTTTGGGTTTTGACCTGGATGTGAGGAGCAGGATTCTAGGGGTGTTACTGCTGGCTCCGGCTCTAGAAGCTCGTGTCTCATGGGGGACACAGACATACAAAGCACCATCTGTAATGCAGGAGGATGGGGGTGCTCGTGGGGCTGCAGTGGTTCCTGTTTGGCATTGGGGGTAAGGTAGATAAAGAGCTGTTCAAGGTTTAAGCAAAAGAGGGTTCAGGTCAAAGGAAAGTTCCAAGAAGATCCCTCTGTCAGTGGCCTGCCATGCAGAAAGCCAGCAGCTTGCAGGCTGCTGGGGTAGGTTTTGGTCAGCCTTAGGCATCAGACTTCATCAGCCCCATTTGGAGCTTTATTCACTCATTTTAAAAGCAAAACATGCTTATTTGTAAATAATTTGGAATATACAGAATCGTACAACAAAGGCAGTCTAAGCCTTTCCCAATGCAATAACATTAACATTTTATATATTTACATCTTTTCTTCATGGCCTTACATGTTTACAAATTATTTAATTACCTTTCTCTAATAGTTACATTAAGCTGTTACTCCAATGATAAAAACGTGACTTTCAATAAAACATTCCTGGAGCACAGTCTTATGAGTGATTTCAGGACCAGGTCTGGGATGAAGGAACAAAAGGGGCGGCTTCCGCCACTCTGAGCAAAGCCATGAGAGCTGGCACTCGCTCAGTCAGGCAGTGGGTGAGACAGTCAGAAAGATGCTTATCCCGAGGCAGGCAGTGGTCCACTGCTGAAGGGTGCGGGAGTAGAGACAGGCAAGGTGTGTGAGCTCCGGCGTTTTAGAAGGAAAAATTTCCCTTCTCCTGAAGG